AAGGGGGAAACTCAAATGTTAATGAATACGGTATTGGTTAAATTATCGTACATCTATAAAAGGAATACTTATATTTTAAACAAAGGATAAAGTGATTTCCTATGTACCTTTATAGAGAGATTGCCAAGATAAATTTTAAGTGAAAAAAGTAAGGTGCATGATAGTGTACAATATGCTAACTGTACTATATAAAAGGGGAATGATCAGAATATATATTCTTATTTACTATTAATTGTAAACTCTGGAAGGACACACAGGAACTAATAAAAGATAGAGTACAGGCATTATAATGGGATTTTTCAATGTATACCCTCTTTATATTGCTTGATTTCTGCACCATGTAAATGTTATCTATTTAAAAATTAAATTTAAGTAGTTTTTGAAAATAGATTTTGGTAAGCAAATTGAAATTTAAAGCAAACAAAATTTTAACACAATCAAAACAGTTCATATTGTCCTAGCTGTATTCCCTGGCAGTGAAGAAAAGCTTATATCTGCCCTCAAATGTATCTGGTATTTCAGAAAACATTTTTCTCTCTTTAGTCTGTATTCTTTAATGTCTGCCTCCTCTATTCCCATTCTTATTTATTTAACACCTTAATTGTATTACTTAAGAGTGACAAGGAAGCATTCAAGGATGAAGAATCTGTGAAAGACTTGACCAACTGAAATTGCATTGTAATTTTTTTGGCAGATCTAGATCTTGCAGACAATAATAGATAACCTGTCTCCTGTATTTTGTCAACAGTATTAGTATTCTTCACACAGCTCCCTCTTGAATTTTAAGGAGTAACACAGCAGCGACAGCCTCATCCTTTTCCAAAACAAACCTTTGATAAAGGTTCCACTAGATTATAAACTTTTTTTTCCCTCATAAACACCAGTTTCTATTCTTCACACAGCTCCCTCTTGAATTTTAAGGAGTAACACAGCAGCGACAGCCTCATCCTTTTCCAAAGCAAACCTTTGATAAAGGTTCCACTAGATTATAAACTTTTTTTTCCCTCATAAACACCAGTTTTAAGTTCAGTTGCAACACTATGCCTCCTCGATAAAGTCTGAGTTGGAACTGAGAGACCTCTCTCACCTTTGCCTGTCTATTGAAACCAAGTTTTAAGGGTCTAGAATGTCCCCAGGTTAAAAACCAAATTATCAGTCTTTTTGTATCATACTACTGGTTCATTTATTCTTGTCAGTAGCAACCAGCACAAGTGTTCAAGATGGCATTTCAGAGCAGCAGGGAGGACAACAGATATGTACCAATCACAATTTCACAATTCTGGAAATGGCATGGGGGCAAATTCCAATCCAGATTTAGGGCTATCAGCCACATCAGTGATTCTGTTGCAGAGCAAATCAATTTAGTAAATGGATATTGAGGAACATCTTAGTTTAGTGTTTTTAGTGAAAATAAAGACAAATAATAAAAGTGTGTGTTGGGGAGCAGGTTTGGAGGAGAGAACTTCAGCAGTCAGCATGATAGTATTGCTGTCAATTGCATGAATTCTGCAGGCATATGGCTTGGGTTTGAATCCTGGCCTTGTCACTTACCAGCCATGTGACTTTTGGCATTACTGAACCTGTTTATGCATCAATTTCCTCACTAGCAAGAAAATGGGGATACCAGTGCTGACCTTATAGGGTTGTTGTGAAGACCAAATGGAAACTTCTTTTCCAGAGAAGAGTTGGAAAGAAAAATATGACTTCAAAGGTCAACCATCTTGTTCTACGTGCATTCTAATAACTGAAGAAAGTCACAGCATTTTTCAGTCCAACAGATATTAGATGTCCTGATATATGTATACCTTGCACGTACTCAGAAAAGCTCACAATAGTAATTAAATAGAATTTAGCACATAAATTAAAAATACAATTCTTTGAAATTTGAATAGGAGGCAGAAATAATCTAAATTTAAACAGATATGATACTTATGCATTTCTGAAGCATTAAGAAAGAAGTTAATGGACTCTGTCTTTTAAATACAGAAATAAAGTACAGTCCTTATTGACATGCAGATAGGGTTCAAATGTCCAAAACTTTAATACTTCTAGAAAAGTATTTTTCAAAGGAAAAAAACAGCTCTGGCAAATTTTTATTTCACCAAAATGAGATTCTTGAACTTACTCAAAAAAGATGACGCTAAACATCTCAAAAGAGAGGTTTTATCCCTAAAGGAAAAAAAAGAGTGCAGAGAGCATGTCAGAAGTATGAAATTTTGCTACCAGAAAAGCAGTACCCATTTCTTATGAACCTTTGTTTTGCAGTTTTCAACTTTGGCAAAATTCCAGTTAATACTGTTAAAATGGTTAGATTCTTAACTAGTTTAGGCCAACCCCCCAGAAAACTCAACCACAGAACCGATGTCCATTTTTAGCTATATAAAAATAAACATATACCTTGACCCCACACTCCAGAAAAAAAATTCAGAACACAAAGAGAAAATGGACTTGGATTTTTAATTTTTTTTAAAGATTATCTATATATAATATAAAAATAAACATATACCTTGACCCCACACTCCAGAAAAAAAAATCAGAACACAAAGAGAAAATGGACTTGGATTTTTAATTTTTTTTAAAGATTATCTATATATATGTATATATAAATAAAAAGTGCAAAGAATAGACCTTCATGTTTAAATTATATTTTAAAATAAAATATATATTTCCATTAACTGCAGGAGACAACTGGCAAGTAAAGAGCCTGAGAGAGTCCAGTCCCTCTCCTTTACTACAATGGACATATATTTTAAGGAAGCACCTATGAAAAATAGTAGAGTGTTCACAACACATCTGGCAACACAGATAGCTTCTGGGTGTTCTTGAAAGCAGTTTTTTTGCATTTTCAATCTAACATGAAATGATGGGAAAAATCAAATTCATAAACAGAAATGACATTGCTTAGAACAATCTAGTATTCTGTATTCATGTTTTACATGCCCTGGAGCCTAGCATTTCCCAGGTAGCAAGCCACACTCACATGTGCATTAGTAAAAGCTATCAGCAGCATGCCTCAAATGGTGATCAGCTCTTAGTGCAACAAGTGTTCTTTGCTCCTAATACTTCTGGTCTAGCAACATAGCTGAAACATCAGGTTAGAAACGAATTTCATTTTTTTAAAAGTAAACAAAATTTTTTTAAAAACATAGCATTTTAGCATTCAACCCTGTTACACATAGCTCAAGTTATGTTTTGGGCTTACTTTTCACCAAAAGGTCTTAAAAAACAAGGGGCTTAAAATATCTGCTGCTTTCTTATGTATTTATGGCAATGGCGGCAATTAGATGCCAAAACAACAGAAAATTCAATAATAAAAAAAGACATACGACTGTGGAATTTTTTTTCTTTAAACCAATTTGGGATTTTTCAAAAATTCAGATTCAAAAACCAATTTCTACCATAGTTTCAGTAGCTATCTACCCACATATAGAAAAGTTTCCTTGGTTTTAATTTGGCTTTCTTTTATTACTCCTTTCCTGTTTTATAACTGAAAAGAACTTCTATTTTAGAAAAGATAGGTTCTATACACTGTGCCTGTAGCAACATATCTGTAATACCAGCTATGACAGCATTTTGCCTCATAAATGTCAATAATATGCTCTCACTGAATCTGAACAAAGTCAATGTTAATACAAAGAAGCTGGAGATAATCAATTATGCATAACTTGTAGACTCAAAGGTCCATGGTCTATTCTCTCCTTCTTTTAGGCCTGTTATAAAAATAATTTGGTTACAAGTGTCTACACAGCACCAATTTTATTTCAAAAGCAGCATCTTTACTTAGCCACCCAAATGAATGTTAAAAACACATGCTCAGACAGCTTCTCTCATTTACTTCTGTTCTGTAACTCTAAAAGACCAGTAATTATGTTAGACTTTTTTCTTAATCAAAAATTATTCAGCAATTATTAAAACCATCAATTACAATGCCCTAAAAATACCCATATCTGCTGAATTAAATGAGAGTTCCCTTTACATGCAACTGTGTAATAAAAGAATTATGCCTGCAGTTGATAAACACTGTGTTCTGTAATAACAGAAGAAACAGGTCTCTAACAGTAAAAAAGCATTTCATAAAACTTTGTCATATATAAAATATCTTATTAATTGTGACCATTCCACTTATGATTAAAGCATAACATAAGCGTTTGCTCTGCCTTCTGCTGTGGGACAGTCAGGGGTCATACAACTTCAAAAAATAAGAGTGCATCTGTTTCCCAGGCTGACAAAAGCAATGGGCTCAATTACACAATTTCTCTCTCAAACTCATCTGCACTCACGCACACATACACAAAGCACCCACAGTTTTAATCTTCATGACACTGTTGCCACACTTTTTTCCTACTTCCAAAAATCTGTCAGGAAAATGTGATCGCAAAATAATTATTCTTGTCTCTACCCAGCCTGGATCTCCACTGCTCATTTTTATGATTTTGAAAGATAAAGTCTGCAGCAGAAGGAGAATAGGCCTCATTCATCTTTCTCAAACCCTTTGGTTTTCTCCTTTAATGTTACAGTGAATGTAGACTTGACTCAGTAGGCCTGGGTCAAAGGCTTTACAGATACTGAACCTGAAGTGCACTAAAAGAATAAACGTCTGCCGCACGGCATAGGAAAATTTAAAAAGTATCAATAATAAACACGACTCCCCATACACGAAGAATTTACAAGAGTCATCTAAAAATTTCAGAAGAAATTAAATTTGTAGGAGGGGTGGAATCACATAACAAAGGTGAAAGGTCAAGTGCAATCAGGTAATAATAATTGCATTCTTTGAAAAATACTTCACCTGCACACCTTCTGCCCCAGTTAAGCTAAATTTCCCAAATCTCCCACTTGTACCCATGGTGGACCAAGAAAGGTACATATTAAAAAAAGGGATGGCATCTGATTAGCAAAGGAATAGAACAAACAAAAAGATTTCAGAACAGGTAAGGATCTAGCTTTAAAGAAAAGCGCTTTTAACTGTGTCTGCAAAACATATGACTTGGAGGCAATTCTGAAGTTTTGACACAAACTTTACTCATAGATGAGTCAGAGTTCTTCTACGGGGATAACTAAATTAAAAAGTGAAACAAAAATAGCTGTTCAATTATGACATCACAAAATCCCAGGGAAGAACTGGGAATCAAAGCTCCCTTTGATTAAAATGTCCCACTTTTAATGCAAAGTGCAAGAGCAAGGGCTTCAAATGGATGTCACAGGCAGGAACGTCAGAAGCTCTTTCTCCCATGGTTCCTCTTCATTCCCTACACACACCACAGACAGTTCATTAGCTTATTCTCAACTCTCCTGGCACGTACATCCACTACTCTAATGGATTCCTTATAAAGTCAGGCCTCTATTCCCAATATACAGTTTAAACTAATGAAAAGAAAGTATGAAGAGATACATTCAATAAGCAAAAAATGAAAGAACTCCAGTATCTGACATATTTCATATTATGGAAGCATGGCTGATGTAATATATGAGAGAAATCCAGAGCGAGTTAGTAACATATAAAGAGATCAGACTGCTCTGCTTGTGCTTCCAAAGTAACAGCAAGTTTTCCTGGAGTTTTAACTCTTCGTCTACTCTTCTTCAAAGTCCTAACAGAGTTGTAGGTTCTTACTGAGTACCTGAGATAGGAATCAGGTTGAAAAATGCTTAAAACACTTTAAATTATATCAAAAAGAAGAAATGAAAAAAAAATCAGCCAGATGAAAAATAGTTAATTATGAACAATAAAACTGTAAGGTAAACATGTGCTGATGCAAGTCAAAGTGAGAAATTGAACCAAAACAGAAAAGGAGGGAGAGGGAGAGAAAAAGGAAGAACAGAGAGAGAGAGTGGTGGCCCTTCCTGTGAAGATTCCTTGTTTCCTGATTTAAATACTATAAGACACCCTTCTGAAGGGCTGTACTGTTCATGCTATCTTCACTAGTACACCTAACGGTAATGATAACCAAGTGGCAGACTAACCCCAGTGAACACAGTAAGAAGTCAGTGATTCTCTGTCACCTTTCAAGAAAGACGGCACATGGACTGGAGATGTGGCCAATTCTGCTGGCTGAGCCGAAGAAATCTGTGGTAGAAAATACCAAAAATGGTCCCCTACACATTGTCGGGGAAAAAATATACAAAACCCCTCCCAAACCTAACCAAACAAAACAAAACTAAAACAATCTTCTCCCTCCTAAAGAAAACTACACCGGAAACATGCCCTGCAAGAAGTCCTTAAGTGTGTCTTTTACAAGGCTGGTCGAGGTTATTTTGTTTTGGATTCCACATAAATTTTATCTCCATCCCTAATGCCAAAGGAATGCAATGCCCGAGAGCTGTACTTCATCTCCTCTGGGCCAAAGGGTGCTTCATGGTCAAAATAGTAGAGAAGCATGTTGCTTGTGGGTAATTGCACTAGAGTTTTTAATTGTTTCTTTAGTTCTGCAACTGTTTGGTCCAGACGAATGCTCATCTCTTCCACCTGATCGTTAAAGTGGACTTCTACTTTTGCACTGCTCTGGGGTCTTAGGTCCACTTCTGCCAAAGGCTCCAACTTCCCATACTTTGTGATCAGTTCATGATACCTAGAAGGATAAAAAAACAAAATAAAACAAAACAAAACAGTGTCAGCTTAAACTAGTGGCACAACTACAGGTAAATTACACTGCTATTCTCAACAGCTTTCTGACATCTCATGCTAATATTAACCCTATCTATCTATCCATCCATCTATTAGATGACAATTGTAGATCTGACAACCTGATATAGTTGCCCTATTGAGTCAACAGTAAAACCACATCCTTGTGGATAGGAGAAGCATTTCTCCTGAAGTGGTCACTATGTCTGCTGTTACTCATTACATAAGAATAAGCTTAGAAAGGGAAGTAAAAGTTAGAAAGTAGATGATACAAAGATAAGAGAGGAAATTCAATCTCTCTATAGAATTTGCTTTCTTGAGTGTCATCATCAAGAAGAGCAGATATCTAAGCACATGTTCCTTGTAACAGATGGAAGATGAAAGCAGGCCAGCAGTTCCTGAGGCATAGAGAAGTCATAACTTAAAAACAAAAACATGTAGTTGTATGTTAGCTACTAATCCAGCTCTTTCAGTGAAGCCTTGTTTGAATGTTCCAGCCTAGTCTCAGCTATAATGCAAGGAATTTATGAGAGAGTCAAAGACACATTCCTGGGAAAAATATGGTAAATAAGGAATATTTCCTTCATCAAGGCAGGAATAAAGAGCAAAAGACACCAAGAAGAAAGTGAATTACAGACATGAGAATAAGGTCCACAAGGTCAAGTTTCCCATGTGGAAATTCTTGTCTCCACTGCCAGCCTTGGAGGATGAATGTCTAATTTTACTGATGAAGCCTGACAGTTTCCTACACACCAGGGAGGGAAAAAATGCTGAAAAGACTTAATATTAGCTTTATTATAACCAAGACAGACTGAAGTAAGTTAGGGATCAGAATACAATAGTCACATAAGATTATTCCCCTACATTCCCCATCCCGCTGTGGGCTTTAACTCAGTTAAATTGGTGTCATAATAAGGTGTGTAGGAACATTAAAGACATAGTAAGATGCTTGTGTTTGGAGATGGAGGCAACCATTTCCATTATGTGGAATAACAGGGTATGGTAAAAATAGCACTGGTCTGACTTCAGAGTCTTGACTCCATCTTAAATCAGCTGTGTGACTTGGGAACTCACTCAATCCTTTTGGATCCCAGTTTCCTCTTTAGTAAAATTAGGATAATAAGTTCTGTCCTTCCTACCTTATAAGACAGTCATAAGAATTAAATAAAATAACAGATGAGTAAGCACTTTGTAAATTCTAAGATTAGCTACAAATAAAAATATTAACTTTATATTCCTGCTGCTTTGTAGCTTACATTATTAAAACATACACACCCCTTAGGAAACATAAGATTGAAATTTACTTAGGTGGGACTTCTGAGAAAAGGTGTTGGTATCAAGATGGGGGTGCTTGGTTTCCACGGGCTCGGGTTATAGGACACACCTCTCGGTTTCAAGCCATTCCCCAAGGTCTCCAGCCCCCATCTAACCCTCCCCTAGAGGAAAGTTACTGTTCCTAGTCAGACCTATTTTTTGCACCAACATGGGTAAACTGAGACCTCCAGGGAGCTGGCTAATACAAATCCAGTGGCTGGGCATGCTCTGTAGAGAAGGGTTATATAACTGGTAGCCAAGCATGCTCAGCGGAAGGGAGTTTATTCTTTGAATGACCTTCCACTAAGGATGGGAGCACAGAATATTCTTAAATATGTTTGGTGCATATGATAGGATTTGACCAATGAACATGCTCCAAAAAGATACCAACTGAGCATGTGCAAGACTATGTTACATGACAGGGAAATGCCCCCTTAATTGAATATTCATTAGGTACCATGAATATGTATTAGACAGTGAAACTATTAAAAGTTGAATCGTGGCAGAAGGCAGGGTTGTTGCTCACTTTCCTGGAGCCAACCAGAACTTTACTTACTTTGTATCAAACTTACTTTCAGCAAGCAGCTACTCACTCTCTTGAGCCAGCCTGCACTCTGTACTGAAAGTTAAGTGTGTATTTCTTACTTTTGTGTTAAACTTGGAGTGGGCCTTGGTCAGTCTTTGGAGCTAGGCTGCACTCTCTCTGTGAAAATCCTCTCTTATTTGTTACATTAAACCTGTTCTCACTTTCTACTGAGATTCTGCTCTTGAATTCTTTACTATGGTGGAGTCAAGAACCTGCTAAGAGGATGGGGTGGGTTGAAGCCGGCTACTGGGGCTCCCCAGACCCTCTCCTCCAACATCAGTATGATGAAGCAGATTACAGAATCTTCTCCCAGGACTTGAGCCAAAACTAGTTTTTTTTTTAAAGAGTAAAGAAATCACCAGCAATAACTAATAAAGAAGAGAAGGCATAATCTTACTGCCATAACCTTTTAAAAGGAATTGAAAGCTGTGTACTATGTGGTTCAGCTAAGCAAGAATTCTAACTCAACCCCCAGAAACCATTATGGAGAATGAAGGTAAAAAGACAAAATCCTGAACATACTGGCTAATCTTCCTAATTTAGAGAAAAGTAGATTGAGGGAGTTAGCAGTCAGCCACACTGAGGATAAACTAGGCTAAAGAAAAAGTAGGCTGAAGAAAAACCATGGGACCAGAAGCCTGTACATCCCACTGCCACGATGTCAAGATTTTAGCAAAAGCAAACAAGCCAAAACAAAATAAGGCAAAACAAACAAACAAACAAAAAACTACCAGTAGGACTTGAAATTTTCCAAGGCTCTAAAGTGAAAAGGTGAAATGATTCAAAGTCTATAGGTATCTTTTACACATCCCACTGCCTAGTATATGCCTTCAAATAAGTGAAACTAGGTTATAATCATTTAACAAAATCTCAGAAAGGGCAGCAGAACTCACGTGGTCAAATAAGAGCTGAACTCTACTCCAGAGATGTTTTCCCTTCAGACTACAGGAAAGTAGATAGAACTGTAATACCCCAGCCCTCAAACCTTGCCTCAGAGGGACAAAAGGAACAATGGCAAAAGGGTCAAGGAGAGTTCACTCATACTATGTTTCAGCAAAGAGATGGTCTGGAGAGAATTGCCCATTTTTAAGCATAAGAAAGATAAGACACAAAATGGCAACTAAGCACACACCACAGCAAAAAGAATGAAGGAAAGGAACAGATAAATAAGTAAAAGCAGAGGCACAGAACTCAGTCTGAAAGAAAACATAACTGAAGGAATAGAAAATGCCCCACAAGTACTCTGCGGTCTAGAGATTAATAAGTGCATGAAGGCACATCAAAGACAAATAATAAACATTAGAATGAGATGAAAAGGGAGACTGCAGAGCTAATAAAACAAACTGAGGAGCAAAACAACACCATTACTAACCAAATAATTGAATTAAGATGACCCAAGAATTTTATACCTAGCCAAGTCTTCTTCAGAAATAAATCTAGGGCCGGCCCGGTGGCGCACTGCTACAGTGCGCCGCTTGGGAGCGCGGCGGCGCTCCTGCCGAGGGTTCGGATCCCACTT